GACCTTGTATGGAATAAATAAATGAATAAAGTATTTTAAAAAAAACCCAAAAAACAAAACTGCAATACCAGTGAGATGTTAAATATGTCCTACAGAAAAAGACAAGAAAACAAAACATACGTGCTTATCACTACTCACATATGGGACATTCTGTTTTCAGGTGTGAAAGCCTGCTTATGTGTCATAAATGTGAGTATACATTTTTTGTTGTAGATCTTTTTTTTTTTTTTTTTTAACGGAGCCAGAGATTGAACTCGGGCCCTTGCGCTTTCCAGGCAAGCACTTACTCAACTGAGCTATCTCCCTGGCCCCTCTTATAGATCTTTATTTTCACTGTAGCTCATTTATTTTCATTTTAGCTCATGTAGCAATTTGCTTTTTTAGATTTTATAAACAAAAACAGTTGATGTTAAAAGTGTTTATTAAAAACTCAATAAATATTTAAAAATTCAGTAATTTATTTTCCTGTTAAGTACATATTATATAATAAAACTTATGAAATTAATAGAAATACTTCTTAAAGGACTGGGGCTCAGTGGTAGAGCTCTTGCCTTGCATTCACAGGCCCTGGGGTGAATTCCTAGCACCACAAATAAAATGAAATACATTTATTTTTATTTTTTATTTATATTTATTTTTACTTTTTGTTTTTTGGCGGAACTGGGGATTGAATTCAGACCACTGCACTTGCCTGGGAAGTGCTTATTCTACTGAGCCATCTCCCTGGCCTCCTTACATTTAAAAAATAAAGCTGGATGTGGTAGCACATGCCTAATCTCAGCACTTGGGAGGCTGAGACAGGACACCACTGGAAGCTTGAGGCCAGTCTAGACTACATAGGGAGATCCTGTCTTGAAAAAAAACCAAAATTCCTAGAGCCAGCCAGATAGTGCAGGGACTGGGGTGTGAGTTACCACACCCAGCTTTTTTTTTTTTTTAAATTGACTTTACTCATAAATTCAGAGAGAGGCAGCTCTCCAGGCAGTTATTTTGCCTCCCTGGCTGGCGCTCCTCCCAGCGCATCCCTGCTCTGGGTACAGCCAAGTCCTCCTGACCGCAGCAGCTGCACTTCATCCTCCACTAGCAATGTCCATCACTTCAGGGGGGGCATTTACAAGGGCCTCCATTCCTTAAGGGCCCAGCTGTTCCAAGGAGAGGAAGGGGCCTGGAGAGAGGCCTGGGCTGCCCTCCCCTGTCTCCCTGACAGGGCTCCACTGAGGCTCCTGCCCTCTGGCTTTCTCAGCTTCCCTCCTGGTGCTGGCTCCCCCTTTTCCCAGGAAGACAGAACAAGTGCCCATGACCCCCAAGGCAAACCAAGCAGAGGCAGCACGCACAGTGGCCCTTGTGCCCCCTGCCTGGCCTTGCCTCTTGTCCTTTTGCTTCTCAGCACAGTCCCTGTGTCCCCTTTCATTCCCACTCATCCTCCAGCCCTGGCCTCTGCCCCGTCCCCTCACCGAAGCAGCCAGCCACTGACCTGCTGCTAAATGGGAAGGGTGGGCTGGGGAGATAGCTCAAGTAGAATAAGTGCTTTTCCTGCAAGTGTGAGGACCTGATTCAATCCCCGGTTCTGCCAAAAATAAAAAAATAAAAAAATAAAAAAAATAAAAATAAATGGGAAGGGCAGTGTCACACTGGCCCTGTGACCTTGCCTTCCTCCTCTTAACACTCATGCCCTTTCGCCCTCCCTTCTGACTGCTTCTCCCCAGTGTCCTTTGCTACTTTAGCCCTAGATTTCAGTGTCCCCAGAACAGGAACTCCTTACCCACTTTTCATACTCTGGTTCTGACTTCATTTGCCCACAGTTGGTTCAGACCAGCACACCCTTGCTCAGCTGTGGGTCTTGCCAGTTTAAGGCTTTTTTTTTTTTTTTGGTTTTGATATGTTTTTATGGTTTTTAAAAATATTTGTTTGGGCTGGGGAGATGGCTCAGTGGAATAAGTGCTTCCCTGGGAAGCGCAAGGGCCTGAATTCAATCCCCGGTGGGGGGGGGGGGGATGGTAGCTTTG